GGGGGGGGGGGGTTACACACCGGAGGAATGCTTGTGGTCCACGGCCAAGGGCACGAAAAGGTGAAACTAAAAAACAATGGGGTTGGGGAGTAAGGGGTACTCATTTGTTGCATTTCCTTAAGAGGTTAGACCATTGACCACGCGTCTTCCTCGAGAGGACGGAGCATTGTTCCCATATGACCGGTGGCCAATCGTTCCTTCCTACATTGCTAACGTTGGATCCAAAATGCCCTAGCTTACCTATCCTACGGTAAAGGAGAGGGGGGCTGGTTACGTACGGAGGGAATAGTCGAGAGAACCTTGTGGTAGACGGCCTAGGGCACGGAAAGGTGAACAAAAAATAAAAACGGGGTGGGGGAGTGGGCGGAGGGGCTCTGCGTGAGACACAACGAGGGGGGGTACGTAGAGGCGACATTACGGAGGAGGAATAGTGGGCGTAGCTGTTGATGCTGTTTCGACACTGTCGCCCAAAAAAATGTCCGTCAATCTGCACCTGGCCAGACCTCTAGCGAACAAGTGGGGGTTGTTGGTGGTGTTCCGGCCCACCTCATTGGGTCCTTTTCTGGTGGTCAAGGACAAGGGCTCCGCACTTTTAAACACGATAGTAGCCGGCTGGTGCGAAACCCCAACGCGTGTGCGGCGCGTCAGTCTTTGAAAAACACGACAAAAACAAGCGTGCTTGTCCGTGCCAGCCTAACATTGCTACTAGACGAGTCGAACGGAACTGGTGCCTGATCGCTGTAGCGAGGTACCACCTCCTCTATCAGGTCGCTGACTGGTTCTCTCTCTTTTAATCACACAAAAAACAAGCCAAGGATCCAGCCGTTTTCTCTTTTTTCCACCCACGGTCAACACTTTAGCCACACCCGCTTCGACTACTGCTGTGGTTATGTCTCGAACGGGTGTTCATTGTTTCTATGCATACAACTACAGTAGAGGTCTACAGTAGAGGTCCTCGTTTAAGGCCGCATGTTTCAGGCCGGTTACCCTGCTACAGGCCGGTAAAATCGCTTAGCACAAGATGGGATCTTCAAGTTGTCTCATTTCACTGAATAGCGCCGGGTGCCCGATATGAAGGCCGGCAACATCCTTGGACCATAGCGGCCCAAAACAGGGATCTCTACTGAAATTTCAAAAGACCGCCGTTCAACACAGCATCGACGGGGTGGCGGCGGCTCAGGTGCCGTCCATCTCACCGTCGTCGCAGAGCTCGAGGCCACGAGGAACCCGATCCCACCCCTGCCCGGCTCCGCGGCGACGCCTCCTCCTCCGGCGGCCTGCCGCGGCAGCAATAGGGGGTCCCGCCCACCGCCTCTCTCTGCGTCAGAAGACACCGTCGTGTCGGCCGTCGTCGTGCGCGTGCTCCTGTCGCCATTCTCGTCCCCCTCGTCTTCCGCCAGTGCCTTCGCCCCGGTCCCCCGGCCTCGCCCTTCTTTCCCCGAGGCGGAACCCCCCCCTCCCCCCCCCCCCCCTCCTCCCTCCCGATCTTTCAAGATGCCGGTGGCGACCCTCCGCCCGCCCGGTCTCGCCCTCCCGGGCATAGCTCCACCGCGACGACCGCCGCCTTGACCTGGCTTGTGCGGCCGCCGCGGGGGGGTTTCGTATCTCCAGTCCGCCCCTCCTCCCGTCTCCGAGTCACGACGCCCCCACGAGGGCGGTGGTGGCGCCGCCACCGCCGCCGCCGGCGTGGAGCGAGGGGACGCTTTGGCCCCGTCCCCTGCTGAAACATCCGCCGAGCAGGACAAGCGTGGCGACAACACGCAGCCGGTCGGCGTCGTCGCAGAGGGGGAACCGATCTGAATGGACAACTCTCGCAGGTGGGGCGTTAGGACGATCGATCTACTATCCACCCCCCCGCGGTTTCCCTCCCGACGAGGCGAACCCCCCCCCGCCGCCGCGGCTGGTGCCATCCCTGGAGCTGCGTCGTCTGTGCTCAGCCTTGGTCGGGGCTCCCGCTTTTCTCGTCGGACCGGGGATGTGGGCCTGCCAGCCCCCCCCACGTCTTCCACGTCGCGATGCCTGCATGTACGGTTTGCAAAACTAAGGGTCAAAGGCCAAAGAGGAGAATACAAAAAAAAATCACCAACGTAAGATAGACAACCAGACAGCTAAAGTCAATGGGAAAGGGGAAACCAGATGATGCACAAAAGAGGCGTCGACGAGCTGCATAGCCGGGACAGGAGAGGGAACAAGAACTCACCACGAACATGGCACAGATAGGCCGGTACACTTGCACTCCGAGTTCGAGTCACGCGCTTCCCGTATCATCGAAGCAGGGTGCAACACACGCCGTTCTCGGGCAAGGCAACACGGTTCCCAAATCGCGTCAAAACAGGAGACACGCACTGCAACTCTATTTTCGCGAAATGCGTTCGGGAAATCGCCTCCCACCATCGAAACCGTCAACGTGAAAGAAGAAACGAGCCTTCGCGTGTGTACTGGCGGTGTCTCTGTGAGGACTAGGGACAGCGTCGAGAGACAGGCAGAAGGACAGACCACTGCTGTGTGTGCGTGCTTAACGTCCAAGCTACCAAGCAATACGAAAGATGCGACAGATCCAAGCTAACCCCCTGCGCACCTTTCGAGTCGCACCCCCGCTTCGCCGTCGCCGTCGTCGTCGTCGTCGTCGTCGCAATCTGCGTCGCCCCCGAGGGAAGCGCGACCTTCCAACCGCGAACCAGACCCCCGCCCTCCGACGTCCGCAGGGCCACCAACAACCCGCCTCCCGGTGCCGGGTGAGGAGACTACCACTTCCTCCTTCCTCCTCTCCACCTGCTGCCGGCCGGTGACCTGGTTGCCGAAGCCGGGCGGCTGTGGCCGCCAGGTGCCCACCGCCCTTCCCCCAGAGACGGGTCTCTCGCCGGAGTCAGGCTGCGACGGGAGCCGCATTCGGGGGAAACTAAACAACCGCGAATAAACGCGGCAAAGAACACATCAAATGCGCACTGTACAGATGTCAACGCGGCGCACGTACGCGATGGGTGTAGATGCCGACTCTGGGCGTGTTCGTCTGTTGGCGCTCTCTTTTCGCTACACACGCACCGAGGTTTTGGCAAGTGGTTTCTACGAGTTACCGTGTCTACACACATGTGTACAGCGTCGAAGGAAGGCGGGCACCTTGCTCAAGGCCGGAGGCTGCTTTCCCTCCTGGAGGAGGCGTTGGCACGAGGTCCACCGGTGGACATCAGCCTTGAAGTCGACCTCCATGACGCTGAGAACCTCCGTAATCGCCTCGTCAAAAATATTGTACCTGAAGAACAAAAAAATAAGGAGGACGACATATGTATAAAAAGTGAAAAAAACAGGCACCTTTCGACCAGCGGAGCAAAAATGGTATGTCTGTCGTGGGTGGGACTAGCCTACGTTACGGTGCGGGGCCTTCGGGAAAGATCAAAAGAGAGGGTGCAACATGCGCGTTGTTTGCCGCCAAAGCTAAAACAATGGGATTCTTCTTGGTTTGTACCTGCTTTCGACCACATTTTCCTCCTAATTCTCTTTGGCGAGTGTACCCTCCTTCGACCACAACTCCAACGGATTTTCTTGGTGTGGACTTTTCTTGGACTACAATTGTCACCGGGTTAATCTTGGTATGTGCCCTTCTTCGACCACACGTGGCATCGGCAACAAAAGAAACAGCGGTATCAACATCATCAACAACGATTCCTCACCTAGCAAGCTCAGACTCGAGCACCCGCTTCCGGCAGGCCTGCGAGATGTCCATTTCCTGCTCACCCCCCTCGACCACGAAGCGGTCCACTATCGCCGCCGTCACCGCCTGCAGCTCCAAGTATTCCTCGACCGTCTCCCGACCTATGCACGCCTACGTACATGTACATTGGAAAACCACACGACCCAGCAAAAACGTCAGGATGAAACGCTTGAAAGCGTGAGTGGTAGCAATACTTTTCGGTTTACGAGGCCCACTTGGCGCGTCAGGACGCTAGATGCAACGGCTATTTGCGTCAGGACCCGGCAACCACCGCCAGGGTGATAGCGATAGTTTTTTGCTTTTTTCGAGGACTCGGAGGGTGATCGCAAGGGTTGGTGCGTCACGTTTAGCCCTTGGCTGTATCGCGTGAGCTATCATATGCATATGTATCATCGCAACGTCGTTCGATTGTCAACAATTTCAAAAGATAATTGATCCGAAAAAATGGTTTTTGTAGTTTGCACCCGGGGACCGACAGACCGCGCCCCCCCNNNNCGCCCCCCCCCCCGCCAACAAAAAAAACAAACGGAGGGGATGGTGACATCACTCGCTGGTCGTGGAAGCTTGTCTACCTTGAGAAAGTCCGACACCTCCGGTGCAGCTCTCGAGAGAGAATAATTCCGGATCTTTCTCCGTAGATCGTCCGCACCCAGCTGATCGGCGTCGGCGAGGGAGGCCCGTATCTGCGCCGGCGTGGGCAGCTTCGAGAAGCCGAAAGTGAACTGTCGCGCGCCCCAGCATGCAAATTCGGAGGGGGGTCGTAGGGACGACGACGACAACGGGGGGGGGGNGGGGCGTACTCATTTGTTGCTTGCCGTAGTCATTTGACCATTGACCACGCGTCCCTTTCGAGACGGAGCACCGTTCCTACCCATACTAGAGACACCACCAACATTTGGGAACTCTATACGTTTCTGCCACAAACTACATAAAAATTTCTTGCACACCTTATCCCCGTCCTCCACGGCCTCTTGATCCCACCATCTATCCCCAATTACCGCGATCGTTTTTTCGCTGTTGTCTAATTTACCAAACTTGTCCATGTCACACCCTCTCTGTCTCATGTCCTCCTCGAGATCCTCTCTTTCCTTCCTGTACAGCTCACACTCCCCAACTATGTGGGGTCTACTCTCCTCCGATTTGCCACATGGACATGTCTGTCTATCCTCCTCTTCCTCTCTCCTACGGCTGCTGTACCTCTTCCTCCGTTCTGGCAAGTCCAGATCGCCTCCTCGAAATTGCAACTTCAGTTTTTTGCGTAGTCCATGGGGCCGTCCAAGTAACTCTTCATCCCTATCCCTTCTTTCAACTTCCCGTGTATCTCCAAGTGGTCTTCGCTTCGTACCTTCTTCCGAAGGGTTGCCTCCTCCCTACTTTCTAGCATCTCCTTGACTTTCTTCTTGAACCCCCCGAACCCTTCCGTGTCCAATGTCTCCTCCTCGTCTCCCAACTCCTCCCAGACTACCACCCTGTCCCATCTGATTCCTTTCTTCCCTGAAGTCGCTTTTCCCCAAGCTGCCTTGTCAACCATGGCTGGTAGTCTATCGTCCGACATTCTACTTACCTTGTACTGCCAATTCAACTTTTGCATGTCTCTCTTTGTTTTAAGAGAGTACATTCCCAGTTCTGCTCTCAATACAGTGTTGCTCGTTGTACTTGAACATCCTAGTATTTTCTTGGCCGCTGCCATCTGCGCCATTTCCAGCTGCTTGACGGCCTTTTCGTTCCCTTCTCATACCTCTCCTGCATACTCTAGCTTAGGTACAATCACATTCAAGAGAACACACCTCTTAATCCTAGTGTCTAGGTGTGGGTTCGTAAGGATCTCGTCCATCTTGCCTATCTGAGCTTTACCCTTCCCAATCAACTTTGCTATGTGTGCGTCCCATGAGCACTCCTTCGAAATCTCTGCTCCCAGGTACGTGTACCTGTCTACTACCGGTAGTTCTTCCTCCCCCCATTTCCATTTGAATTCTACGGGATTTTTCTTGTCTTCCTTACAGACCACTACTGCGCAATTTCCTACGTTCGCCGACAGTCTCCATTTCCGGGTGTATCCTACTGCCGCATCTATTTGTTCCTGCAACCCTTGTGGTGTTTCGAATCAAGTCGTTGATGTAAATCTTGAAAAGAGTGGGTGACATCGTACAGCCCTGTGCGACTCCTTGGAGGATATCCACGTACTTCGAGATTTCCCCATCCAACATCACTGCACTTCTGGTGCATTCTGTCATCTTTTTCAACATCCTCCACATTTTCCCCCGGATCTCTATGTCCCACATCTTTTTCCACAATCCATTGCGCCAAACGGTGTCGTAGGCTTTTTGTACATCTAGGAAGAAACAGTATGTCGTACGCCCGGCGTCTTTCCTACCTTGGATAATTTTACTCAACGTATATACATGGTCTACACAACTACGATCTGGTCTAAATCCAGCTTGTCCTTCGCTGATCTTTTGTTTCCCCTCCAACATGTCTCCCATTCTATTGTTTATCATCTTGCCAAAGAGTTTCCCCACTGTGCTCAGCAAGGTTATCCCTCTATAATTCCCCGGGTCAGTTTTATCCCCGTTTTTGAACAGGTTCACGACTACTCCTTCTCTCCATCTCTTCGGCGCGTACTCGTGTTTCCATATCCAGTTGAATATACGGACCAACATGTCAATCATCCCCCCCCCCCCCTGTTTCAAAAGCTCATTCACAATTCCATCAGCCCCTGCCGCTTTTCTATTCTTGAGTTTCGCTACACAGTCCTCTACCTCTTCTCGTGTGAACTCTCCCTGCAACCCGTCTACATCACTACATTCCCTCCGAGATCTTTCAACGTTTTCCTCTGCCCACGAGTTGATTTCCTTCTCAAACTCCGAGTCGAAGTTGTCGTTGGTGGTGGGTGTCCCAAGTTTTTGGTAGTGCTCTACTTGTACTTCCCGCTTTCCTTTAGAACTGCTTACCATCTTACCCTCGGCAGATCGTAGTGTCGCTATTCCCGTGTCTCCCCCTCTTTTCTTGCCCACTAT